CTGGTGGCTCACACCCATAATCCCAACAATTTGGGAGGCTGAGGCAGGAGGATCACTCAAGGCCAGGAGTTTGAGACCAGCCTGGGCAACATGGCAAGACCATGTCTCTATAATAGAAATTAAAAAATATATATATATATGTTTTATACAAAATATATATATGTAAAAAAAAATATGTCTTTTTCTTTGAGACCAGTTCTTGATAAGTTGTGAACAGAACTAGAAGATTTTTGCATGCAACACTAGTTTTACTTGAAAGAATGACTGACAATTTAGGGTTATTTAGTTTTGAGTATTTGGCAGACATTTTATTGTAAATGAACAGAGTGAGTCTACAACTGAAGGAAAATAACAGGAACAAAATTCAAGTTTTGAGCAAAAACTAAAATTTTTGTAAAGTTTTATCTGCCATCTTTAGCTTGACCACTTCCTAATACTTAAAGATTTATCTTTCTGATGACAACAGTGGTGATATTAATGAAAGTGATTTTTTTATATTATGTAATAAAGTGCATTAACATTTGAAGATCTGCATAGCTCAGTAGACCAATAGTTTCCAAGTGACTAATGCATGTTAAAAAGTCAAACATGCGTAAGATCCATTCAAGGCACATGATAGACCAGTGGATTTTTATATAACTACGAAAAGTTCTTTCATATGGTTTCAGATTGAACATTGCAAATAACCTTTAAGATAAGTTTAACATTCGTCAAGTTTTGAGCAGTATCAAAGAAAACTATTCACAATTATCTAAATGGGGTTATTAAATACTGCTATCGGCAATCATCACCATCTGCTGGCTCATTGGCATCAAAGACTTGTATGTCAAGGTCTTTGGGTCCATCAGTATGCTTAACCTCACCTAGGGCCTCTTTCATGGGCTCTCCAGCCAGGAAACCCATCAACAGCTGGCTGATAAAAAGGGCCTCCACATTGTGGCCCTCTGCCCGTAGTGGTTGCCTGCCCCCTGGGGGCCTTGAGAAAGGATCTGGAGCTGAATGATGAAATTCCAGACATCAATCTGGACTAGGAAGAAGTGAAGGCTGCGCAGGGAATGAAGTGCTCTGTATGGGCCAGTTGAAAGAAAGCTGCCAAATAACCTCTTTGACCTTGTGCACCCAGTCCCTGGTGCTACCCAACACCTAGGAGAGATTCAGCTCCCTCACATCTTGGGGTGTTATCTTGTTTTTTGTTTGTTTGAGGAAACTTTAAATTGTTTAGAAATAAATAATTATAGCTTTCGTTTATTGACCACATGGTATATGCCAATCAATGTGATAGGATCTTTCCATACATTTCTCAGTTCAAGGCTACTTTAAATATTCATCCAAACTAACGAAAGTAAATGAATTAGTGAGATAGGGCTAATAATCTGACTGAATTCATAATAATGTGCACGACAATAATTGCTGTAATTATAGCAAATACATATTAATTCAGTCTTCCAAAGTGAATGCGATTAACCTCATTTTACTGAGCAGTTAAGTAATTTGACTACCTTGAGGAAATGACAACCTGTTTTCCGCAATGGAAATGGAAGCCTGAAAGCTACTAATGGGAATGTTAAATGGTGTATTAATTGTACACCATGGTAATTTTGACTTGTACTTTCCTGGTGGCTAATGATGTTGAGCATTTTCTCATGTGCTTATTGACCATTTGTGTGTTTTTTGGAGAAATGTCTATTCAGTGCTTTTGTCCATTTAATAAGTTATTTTTTGTTATCATTGAGTTCCTTATATTTTCTAAATACAAGCCCCCATCAGATACATGATTTACAAAATTTTTTTTACTCATTCTGTGGAATATATTATTATTTTTTATTTCTTTGAATACTTTTTCTGCCCCACCCACATCCTTTTTCTGGGACACTGAATGAGACAAATGTTAAATCTCTTATTATAGCTCTGCGAGTACCTGAGGTGGCTCTGTTTATTTTTTCCCAGTCTGTTTTCTCTCTGTTGCTCAGTTTGGGTAATTTATATTGTTTTACCTTCAGGATAACTGGTGATTTTCCCTTTCCTCTCCATTCTCCTCTTGAACCATTCTTGCAATATTTTAATTTTGGCTGTCCTATACTTCAGTTAAAATTTCCTTTTGACTGTTTTCTATATCTCCTGTTTCTTTACTGAGGTTTTCTATTTGCTGAGACTTTTTTTCTTTCTTCTTCTTCTTTTATTTTAATGGCTTCAAGAGTGCTTATAATTGCTCACTTAAGCTTTTTTATAGTAGCTGCTTTAAAATCGTTGTCATAGGGTGGGTGTGGTGGCTCATGTCTGTAATCCCAGCACTTTGCAAGGCAGAGGCAGGAAAATTGCTTGAGCCTCGGAATTTGAGACCAGCCTCGGCAATAAAGTGAGACCTCACCTCTACAAAAAATAATAAATTTTAAAATTGAAATAAATACTATCAGTTCTAAATACATTTTCATGAAACCACATTATTTTCATGTTGTAACAGATTGATTGCAAAATTAAATATAGAACCCAGATATCTTTTCCAAAGCTAGACATTAAATATATTTGCAAAATTATGAAACAATGACATTCTTCTCACTATTTTAAGTATTTTTTTCAATAACAATGTTATTTGTATAACATGTATGTTATACAATGTAATGTAGACATGTAATGAAAGTATTATTTTAAATGACAAATATTTCAAGAATTCCTCAGTGTTAATTTCTATTAAGTATATATATATATGTATAACTCACATAGATAAAAGGTCTTTGGTATCTTTAACCGTTTTTAAGCTTTTAAAGCGTTAACGAGACAAAAACTTTTGTGAACTGCTAGTAAATGAATTCTTGGAATTGATACCATTTACTATGACTGAATGCCGAACTCAAAATTTACATTCAAGCTCAAAACAATCTGTGGAAGTCTATGTGAATGTTTTCATGACATACGATAAAAACATCATGTTCTCAGAGAAGATAAAAAAATATAATGACAGCGCTCAGGAATGGAATAAATGTGGCATAGGTAGCAAGAAAAGTGATTTAAAAACATCTCCTCTGTTTAAATCAAGTGAGTAGGTACACATTAAAATGATGGTAAATGCTAAGCTTCATCTGTTACACTATTAAAAAATGTTGACTGTATAGCACTGCAAACTTCAGTCAATGAGAAGAGGCAATAAAACATAAATTTTATTTCGTTTTTCTTTTACAGATGAAAAGGTGTTAAGAACTGAAGTTTTCAACTTTTCATACCTTAATACCCTTTGGCAGTTACTCTTTGCACTTTAATTGGCAAATGAACAATACTAAGGTTTATTAATTCCAAATTCTTAAAGAGTTTTGGTTTTGAAGGATGAAGCTAGATACATTTCTGCATTTTAAAGTGCAAATCTCAAAATATATATATTTTTAAATTTGGCTTGAACTATTTCAAAGGAAAAGAGTGTAAAGATATTGAAAAAGATTTTTTGGTTTCCTCTGGTTTTTCTTTTTCTTTCCTTTTCAAAATATGTTTCCTATAATTCAATTTTACAGTGAAAATGCTGATAGCTGTGGACAGCATGGCTCAGTATTGACCTCTTCTAAGTTATTATCTATATTACTTACAATTATCTGAACAAAAAGACTCTAACCTTCTTTGAACATGCACTTCAGCCAGTACAATCCTCAGTGCAGCAGTAACACAGGCCGCCCTTTAAATACAGAGCAGTTGACTTGGTTGCAGATCACTTGTTCCCCTTCTGGTTCAAGAGCACTATGGTACCTTGGACACTTCACAGTGTAATTCTTCATAAAGCAGGGCTGGCATATGGACTCATCCTTGACCATCACTTGCTGTTTCCCAGCCCTAACAGAGCCACTATTAAAGCTGCAGCAGTGTTTCCAACACCAGACTTGGTTTATTGCCTGGATATACTCATCTGCCTGCACATCCCCGTATCACACTTTGCAGCCAGTCCTATGGGATTTCTCATGGCCACAATATACTTTACCATACCATACATTTTCACTATTTCAGAATAAATAACAACAATGAAGGATTCCTAGCAGTTGTCATAAATGAAACAAACTTGGTGTCACAATTTGTTATGCCCCACCGCCTCAGCATGGATTACAACATGGCCTTTCTTTATACTCTCTTTTTGGCAAATTCAGGGATACTGACTTATTCTGAGATTTGCGAATTTATCCTCTTTGTTCTCACTGCAGTTGCAGTGCTTCTCTCCTCACCAGCAAAATGAATTTTATTAGTGACCTACTCATCTACTTCACTGGGAAATGGAATATCTCCTCCCTAAGATTTACTTGTGTATTTTACACACTCAGTTGTATCTATTTCACTTTGGAAGAAGATAATTCATCATGGTGCAAGATCCTTGTAGGATCTTGATCATGAGTAGTCAGCTGTCTTTCCAGCTGCTTACCCCAAGATTGGGCCCCTCTGAGGCAGCCACAGAAGTTTCTCTGAAGATGCAAAATAGATCATTTAGCTGGTGAAGATAGTTGTCCTATAAGAAAATGAACAATTTAATAACAAAACAGTAAATGAAACATTAAGTAAAAAATTTAAAAATATATATATAATCTACATGAAAGTTCAGAAACTTATTGCAAGATATATTTACACAAAGAGTTTTAATTTAGAGGGTAAAAATGAAACTGCCAGAAAGAAAACACAGACACACACACATATGGGCGCAAATAAACACAGACGGGTTGCAGAGACAGAGGTGTCCGTGTTTCTCAAATTGTGAATGAACAAAACTAATACCCAAACACAAACATGCCAAAGATGGAAAGCTTTTATGAAACGTACTGTGACTCACAACGTCTGCGCTTCATCAAGTTAGGATGCAACAGAAAGGATGCAATAGAAAGATATTTTCAGTTATTCAAAGACTTAGTGCACTCATACTATCTTCTTAAAAACAATGACAGGAGCAAACACAATGCTCACTGATACAGAGAAAATGCAAATATAGTTATAGCTGTAGAGGTAGGCATAACTATAGATAAAGATATGTACAACAGCTACCTGGGAGATGAACAGCTTAATGCTAGGCAGTAGTTTTTTGAAAAAGCTGATGCAGTAAAAGACAAAGAATAGAAAATAAGAATTTCATTTTTTATCATTTACCAAATTAAGAGACATTAAAACATTTTTGTTAAAAGGCAAAGGTTTTTAGCATCAAATAAAAATATTCAGATATTTGTATCTTTATGAAGAAACATTCCTAAAGTGAAATGCTACAGAAAGTAAACAGAAAACATACCTTAGTAATGTTAAGATGTTACCAGAAGAAACTGGGTTTGGGGTATGTGGCAACTCTCAGTACTATCCTTGCAGTTTTTCTGTATATCTAAAACTGTTCTAAAATTAAAAGTTTATTAATAAAACACAATTCTACCTGACATACTGCTTTGCAACTTGCTGTTGTTTTGAATAAAAATATGCTGTGGAATGTTTTCCATGTTGACACATTGATTTATTCCATTTCTTGTAATACTTACAGAGTAATTCATTTTATGATGGAGCAAGATTTATTAAACAAGCCTTTTTTGAATTTTATAGAATCTGAAACAATGCTGTGATACAGTATCTTGCACAAGCACTTTTCTGCTCTGGTAGTTTGGAAGGATATTCATCAAAATGCCAACAGTCATTATGATGGAAAGGTGAATGTACTCTTCGTTTTTATGTGTGTAATTTTATGTAGTTTCTCAGGTTTTTGCTTGTAAAATGTATTATTTCTATAATCAGAAGTACTATGATCAATGTTTTTCTTAGTCCTATATAAATATGACTTATTTTGTTTATGAGGTGAAACATATTAATAAAAATGATTTTATTAATATATTTCAGGGGCAAAGTGTTAATTTTGAGGGCAACAATGGAACTGCCAGAAAGAAAACATAGACACACACACACACACACACACACATACACACACACACACACACATAGGCACACATAAACAGAGACCAGTTGCAATGAGGCATCAGTGTTTCTCATTGCATTTGATGCAATGTGCAACGTTGCACATTGCAAGGATAGTACAAAGGGTTCCCATATATCCCAAACCCAGTTTCTTCTTCTAATAACATCTTACATTACTAAGATATGTTTTATGTTTTCTTTCTGTTGCATTTTATCTGTGGAATGTTTCTGGGTAAACATTTTATCTTAAAGGTAAAATAGGCAAGTACTTTAGTCCCATATAACATTGCACATTTCATCAAATGTATTTGTTACAATGATCGGAAGATGATCTAAACTTGGGAATCACAACCGGTTTTCTGATTTAGCTTTGCATTTTCATGTAGTGCAAGCAGGCAAATAATAAACAACTGCGAGGAGGAGCCAAATAACGTATTTCAGATGGTCAATTTAATACATATTTTATGGAAGCTTTCTTTCAATAAGTCACTTACATAAAACATTTATAAAATCCTTCAAGATGATCATAAAGATCAAACTTAATCACATCAATAGCAGTACACTCAGCTATTTAAATATCCTATATGTAATGTGTAGCTTTAAATACTGTTATTAAGTTGAAATAAATATGAAATAAGTATTCAATAAAAGATTCAGAGAGAGTAAAATAAATTTAATGAAATCACATCGAAATAATACTAATAAAATGCTGGAAATAAGTAAATGAAAATGCTGGTTCTTGAAAATGTCATCGCAATACACAATCCTTTGGTGAGGACAATTAAGACAAAAAGATGGTGAATACAAATTCAAGCATTAAACAAAGAATATTACCAGACTATGGAGCATCTCTCATGGTTAACGAATACTAATGAGAATATCTTGCTGAATTTGCTAACTTTTAAAGATAGCTTAAATGACCAAAATAGGCTGAAAAAGTAAAAAATGATTTGAGTAGAAGATCTATGTTTCAAATTTGAGCAGGCTGCCTATAAAAAGCTGGACTCAGAGAGTTTAATATGTGGCTTTACGCAGACTTGTAAGGCTTTGTCTGCTCTGTATTACATAGTGGGCATTTTAGATTGTAAAAGTGGAATACTTGCCTTTTCTTTTTGCCATTAAAGTAACATAGCACTAATTTCTAAGATGAAAAAGACATTGTTATGCATTGAGTTGTTTCTCCAAAAAGAGATATTGAAGTTCTAGTCCTCAGTACTAGAGATAATGTCATACTGCAGTAGGTTAGTGCCTTAGTCCAATGTGACGGTGTCTTTAGAATAAAATGAAAATGTTGGGAGGTCAAGGTGGGTGGATCACTTGAGGTCAGGAGTTCGACACCAGCCTGGCCAACATGGTGAGACTCTGTCTCTAGTAAAAATACAAAAAATTAGCTGGGCCTGATGGTGGGTGCCTGTAATCCCAGCTACTCTAGAGGTTGAGGGAGGAGGATCGCTCGAACCCGGGAGGCAGAAGTTGCAGTGAGCCGAGATCGTGCCACTGCACTCCAGCCTGGGTACACAGCAAGACTCCATCAGAAAGAAAGAGAGAGAGAGAGAAAGAGAGAGAGAGAGAGAGATCAAGTCACAAAGCAGGAGCAGAATGTGAATAAGTAGAAGCTAAGCATGCTGCTAAGAAACAAGAACATGAGAGGATAAAAATGAAGGAGAAAAACTCAAAGGCTCCTAGACAAAGAAGAAAATGCAAGTATTCCAAATATTGAAACAAAAAGATAAGAAAGGGCCAACCAAACTTGAATTTATAAATGGAGTATCTTCTTCATAAAACGCATAAAAATAAATCAGGAATTTTGCTTTTAATAAAGGGTTAAAATATCTGCTCCCTATTGAATTATTTTGCATAAGTAATGTGTCTCCTAGCAATTAACTAAACTTGTCAACATAAACTGTATTGCTTAGCTATATTAAATATAAAATGTCCAAATATTTTTGCTTTTGTGAAAGAAAATTTTTTCTTTTTATTACAGATAGAGTCTCACGCTGTTGCACAGGCTAGACTGCAGTGGCATGATCATAGCTCACTGCATCCTCGAACTCCGAGGCTCAAGGGATCCTCCCACCTTAGTCTCTTGAGTACGTAGGACTACAGACTGGTGCCACCACACCTGGCTATTTAAAAAATTTTATTTTTTGTAGAGACAGGGTCCCACTTTGTTGCTGAGACTGGTCTCTAACTCCTGGCTTCAAGCAATTTTCCCACCTTGGCATCCCCAAGTTTTAGGATTACAGGCGTGAGCCCAGCACCCAGCCAGAAAATTTTCTACATATGCTTTATATAATATGATTTTTTCTGTTACTTATTTACTTAAGGAAGCCTTGCCTGAAGAACTAAAAGAACCTTCTTCTATTTGAGAGACAACCTCAAGTACATAATCCTTTTATATTATAGAAAATTCAAATGAAATGAAGTGTTTTGAAAATCAGGGTGCAGAGCTTTCAATAAAGCATTTTGATGAATTTTTCCAGTACAGTAATCAGCTGTTATGCTTTTAAGTTCATTTTAATGTCAGGGAAGGCAAAGACTCCCTTTTTACTTTATTTATTTTGAATTAGGTATACGTTGCAGGGAAATGGACTTTCCAGAAACCTGAAGGCAGAATACCTAGATGCTGAAACTCCCTTTGGCTCCTCGTATAATGATGTAGTGGTGTTCATAAAGCAGGGTTTGCTATAGGACTCAGAGAGTCTGATTGGAAGTTCACAGTTTGTTAGCCTAAGCACATCGCTTGCTAGTGTTGAAATATGTAAGTTAACAAAAATATAAAATACCTGGAAGCAAGCAACAAGAAATGTGTAGAATTTACATAGGATGGCATGTGCTCATGTGGGTATATGTGGGTGTATATCTGAACCAAGAGTAAACAATACTGAGAGAAATATAATAAGTCATAAAAATGACAGACTTCTCTAAAACATTTAATTTATAATTCAAAACAATTCGATGTTTTACATATGCGTGCACCCTGGACCAGTCATAGATCAGAGACAGTAAAAAGGAAAAAATATGTTATTTGCGCCTCTCTGTCCTCCCCACTTTTGTTTTTTTTTTCTTTTTCTGCAGAGAGGTGTTATTATATCTGATTCCTGACTCCACACATGCTCAGATGAAAAGTGCAGTAATGAGGCTACACGGCAATCTGGTTTAACACTTAAAACTTAATGCTTGTTTGGGTTTAGACTCTGCGCTACGTACTTCACAAATATCATTGGTTTAATCTTCACAATAACCCATTTTAAAGATGAAAAAGCTGAAAGCACAGCGTTGTCATCCACAAAGTTATCCAATTAGAGGTTTTTTTTTTTTTTTTTTTTAAATATGAAGGGCCCACAAATTTTTAAAGAAATAGTAATAAAACATTACCTTTAAAAGTGTCTGTAGGAAGATGTATTTAGCACAGAAATATTTTGGGGTGTGCGTGCCAGTTCTCAATTTGTTGCCTTTCAGCTCCAGAAATACCTTCATACCCTTACTCTGTAATAAAGGACAGACATACTTTTAGTGTTTCTCCTTTACAGTAAGAACAACATTAAGCTTTCTTAGGAAAAGGCGCTGGAGGAAATTTGCAGGAGGAAGAAGCTTCTCTTGCTGGCACCAACAACAGTACACTTGGTCTGCAGTGTGGGTGGGAAGGTATCTGGTGTGGCTGTGCCCCAGGTTGCGATCCCTTAGTGACCTCGAAGTCCTGATCCAGCCTGATGGGCATCTTCCTGCAGCCCTCAACACAGATGCTATACCTAGCACCCCCACTTTCTCTTCACATGCGTGCACTCAGCCATGAGCTGAGGCTCACCCAAACCTTGGTAGCTGACTCTCTGCCTCACCAGCTACTGCAGACCAGCCCAGTCTTGGACAAAGCAGTGACCCTTGGTGTCTTCCCGTGGGTTGCAACTGTACCTTCACAAGGAAGTCTGATCCTTAGCAATAGGAAGAGGGACTCTTTTCAAGATGTTTCTTCCTTGGGTATGCTTCCTCAGCCCTTGCATACTGTATAGAATTCTATTGTATTTCATGATTACTGTTTTATTATAGTTTAATAATTCTTTACATTTAATGTTCCTTGTTTAAATCACCATGTGGTTTCGGTACACTGATAAAACCCAGGCTGATACTTGTGGATGTCTTGTTTTTGATATAACATTCAATGGACTCTGTGATAACCACTGGGCTGCTTCGCCTTAACCACAGGCTTTTAATGTTATATACAAAAGTGACCACAAAGAACATACATTATTCCAAGTTATGTTTTAGCTTAACTCTTGAGGTTTGTTTTCTTCTCTCCCCTGAATTGTTCGATCAGCTCTAATCCCATACCTTTCCCAGATGTTAGGAATCTCAATATCAATTTCCTAACATTTCTAGCCCCATATATTGTGTTCAGGATCCCTAGGGGAGACACAAAGCTGTACAGTGAGGGCTCTTGTAGGAGTAGGGCTCCTACTATTTTCTGGTGGGGTGGCATTTCAGTATTTTCACAGCCTATTGGAATAGGTCATAACATTTTAGAATGTTGAATATAAGCCCTGATTATCATCTGTAGTGTCCCTGTAGGGAAATACGTGAATTTTGAATAAGCAGCAGGGAAGAAACTGAGGTTTAAATTTGTTCAGACGCACCTCAAATAAGTAGTCAGAGGTTACCAGAAAGCCTAATGAGCAGTAAATTAATGAAAATAAAACAACTATCCAGATGAAGAAAATCTTTTGTTATCGCCATTTATATTTACAAGACATTGACATTTTCTAAAATTTAATCTTTATAAATTTTCTGAAAAACTAACATGTTTTCTAGTATAAGATTATTAACTGTCATACAAGATCACAGCAAACCCTAACCTATACAACTATGTTCTTCATTTATTCTTCAGTAACCCATAAACACCAAGTTCTTAGCAAATAGAAGTCAAGCATCCAAGAGAGGGGAAAACTATTTTCTTGTATAAGCTATAGATGTATTTCTATTGTCTATTAGGAAAAAAACTCGTTCTTAGGAAAGTCATTGACGATTTGCCACAGTTAATTCTGAAATTTCTTTGTTGAAAGCAGGAAAGTAGAAAATAATTGAGTGCATTAACAAGAATAAGAAACACAATCATCCATTTTTATATCAGATCAAATTATGAAAGTCAGAAAGCTGACTCATAGGAAGAAACTCATCAATGACACACACCTCTCTAGAAAGGAAAACGTCCATTTCATTTCCTCCAATATTCCTATATTGCCATTTGATGAAACTGAAGATTCTTGTAAGTTAAAAACAAATAAACAAAAGTTCAATTTGTGAGGTTTTCACTATATACTTCAGTTGAGGTGAACTAAAGACCATTTTGTTACTAACATAAAGCTAACAATAAATCATGTACCCGGAAATAAGGTGTAAGTAGTTTTGACGGTCACAGTGACTTGATTCACAAAATAAATGTCTGACTTCATATGAGTCAGAGACTCTGACCACCCATTTTAATGCATATAACCATTTATTTCCCATGACATCACTGCTGGACAAGGACATTGGAAATATGATCCCCTTTAAGAATGTGGGCATTATAGTGCTTTGCGATAAAGCAAACTGGGGTTTTAATCCAGGCTCTCCCATTTTCTACCCATGTGAGTCTCATCTTCTTTGAACCTCATCTTTAAAGTGAAGAAAACAGCACCACTCTTGCAGAGTTGTTTTGAAAGTTAAATCAATTCATGTGGCATGTGAAATATATGTGCCTTGCAGCAGTGACAAGAAATTAGGCCAAGTCTATGGGTATCAGGAACAATGTCTCTGTCCGATCCCTGTAGCAGCTAAAACAGCCTGTCACCACAAGCCATCTTCCCTGTTCTACACTGGCTAATAAAAAAGTACTTAGCATATTATAATAATCACTGTAACATTATTAGGAAGAGTAAAGATAGGATATTGAGTTCCTAATATAGGCCACACGTTATTCAAGCCCGTTTCTATTAAGTGTGCACTTGGAATGAACTTCCATGACATTGCCGTACAGCAGCAGTGTTGATAGCTGATATAATTTACTGTCAGCTGAATCTAAGCTACTTGTGAATAAGACCTACAATCATTTCTCATATTCTCAGGGGATTGGTTCCAGGACTTGGTATCCCCACAGATACCAAGATCCATGGATGCTCAAGTCCCTTACATAAAATGGTCTAGTTTTTGCATATAACCTATGCACATTCTCTCCTATACTTTAAAAAATCTCTAGATTATTTATGCTGCCTACTAAAATGTAAATGCTATGTAAATAGTTGTTACACTATATTTTTATTTGTAGTTTTATTGTTTTGTTATTGCTTTTTATTGTTTTTCAAATATTTTCCATTTGCAGTTGGTTGCATCATGGTTACAGGATCTGCAGATACAGGGGCCAACTGTACTTTTCATTTCTCTGTGTTCTTCAGCTTACCTTCACATGGTAGATGCCCATGAAAGACCCTGGAACTCATGAAAGGTAGCAAGATTTCAAGCTATGTTCTCCCCTCCTCTAGAGCACCTTGTAAATAGAGAAGACAGGTGTGATGCAAACAAACATGACAATGTCAGGGGTGTTGATAGCCACAGCTAAAGTGAGAGTGAACCCCAGTGACACTACTGTCTCCTCATATTTGGGGAACTTCTTCATTTTCCACTCATCTTTTTGCCCTCGACTATCACATTTATATCAATATATTGATATATTGAAATACAATGAGTATTATGCTGTGTCAGTTAAAGCAAAATGGTTTAATTTGGGATGAGAATAAATCTAAATAATTATACATTATTCAGTTAGGCATAGGAAGGTATACAGATGTGCATTTTTTTCATACTGAAATGTGTCTCCCTGTTTCTAATAAAAAAGAGAGAGTTCTAAAAAGGTGAAACCCTCTTCATTGTATGACTTTTACTGTTATTAATTTTTTAAAATCATGATTCAGTTTTTGAATAGTTTTATATGTGCTTATTAAAAGGTGAAAGAATAAATGTCAGTGGCTCCGGAGAGACTTAGGAGTGAGCTGAAGGGAATCCTCTCCCATTACAAATAATAAAATGTTGAATAAAATGTAAAAACAAATACTTAAAATATACAGCTGAGTTGTAAAGCAAAAAACAAACAAAACAAAACAAAGCAAAAACAGAAAACTTTGAGTGCTGGAAATGTATAAGACCCTGATCCAGAACAGGAGGCTGGAGCTAATGCTGCTGTAATCCCAGACAGTGAAAATAAGAGTCAACAGAATGGAAGTAAACCCTAAAAGTTTGGAGCAAAGGTTCCGACCCCCATAGGGATCTTTGACCTAACAAGTGTAGGAACTGAATCCAAGAACTCTAAATAGTGTTACGTAGCTAAAACCTTGAGGTGGTGCCTATTCTGTGAAAATAAAACTAGAAAAATATATTCCAACTAGCCTGAAGAAGCTGAAAACAGAGTTTGCATTCTGCTTGAGGTACAGGATCACATGGAAGACAGGGGTGCCTTTCAAAATAGAAAATTTCAAAAAATGGGGCACATATAAGTGGCTTTGAAATTCGTATCATGTTTGCGGTATGGGAAATCAAACTGAAAGAAGAGACATAAAAAATTGATCCCGTCTGAAAGCTATGAGGTCTGGTAGTAGAAACAAACAGAAAACTGTGCTATACGGCATACTCCTCAAATTCAGGACACGTGAGATTCTCATCTGGAAAAAAATTTTCACAAAAGATGAAGTCAATATGGAAAAGTTATAAAAACATAACAAAATCACCACGAGAGTGTGTAGAAGATGCACAAACATGAAGAACTTGCGATTCACATACTACAGAATAAAATCTTAAATACACTATAATTCAAGAATCTTGAGAATATTAATAGCTTAAAAATACCATAAAATAAAATATAGGTCCACTTAAGAAAGAACGTTAGTATTCCCTCAGTATTCTTAGACTGTGACAGAGAAAGTTTTGCTAAACATAGCCTCATAATTCAAAATTACAAAATAATCCGGGGGGCGGAGCAAGATGGCCGAATAGGAACAGCTCCAGTCTCCAACTCCCAGCGCGAGCCACACAGAAGACCGGTGATTTCTGCATTTTCAACTGAGGTACTGGGTTCATCTCACTGGGGAGTGCCGGACGATCGGTGCTGGTCAGCTGCTGCAGCCCGACCAGTGAGAGCTGAAGCAGGGCGAGGCATTGCCTCACCTGGGAAGCGCAAGGGGGAAGGGAATCCCTTTTCCTAGCCAGGGGAACTGAGACACACAACACCTGGAAAATCGGGTAACTCCCACCCCAATACTGCGCTTCAAACAAACAGGCACACTAGGAGATCATATCCCACACCTGGCCGGGAGGGTCCCACACCCACGGAGCCTCCCTCATTGCTAGCACAGCAGTCTGTGATCTACCGGAAAGGCAGCAGCGATGCTGGGGGAGGGGCGCCCGCCATTGCTGAGGCTTAAGTAGGTAAACAAAGCTGCTGGGAAGCTCGAACAGGGTGGAGCTCACAGCAGCTCAAGGAAACCTGCCTGTCTCTGTAGACTCCACCTCTGGGGACAGGGCACAGTAAACAATAACAAACACAGCAGAAGCCTCTGCAGACGCAAACGACTCTGTCTGACAGCTTTGAAGAGAGCAGTGGATCTCCCAACACGGAGGATGAGATCTGAGAAGGGACAGACTCCTTGCTCAAGTGGGTCCCTGACCCCTGAGTAGCCTAACTGGGAGACATCCCCCACTAGGGGCAGTCTGACACCCCACACCTCACAGGGTGGAGTACACCCCTGAGAGGAAGCTTCCAAAGCAAGAATCAGACAGGTACACTCACTGTTCAGAAATATTCTATCTTCTGCAGCCTCTGCTGCCGATACCCAGGCAAACAGGGTCTGGAGTGGACCTCAAGCAATCTCCAGCAGACCTACAGCTGAGGATCCTGACTGTTAGAAGGAAAACTATTAAACAGGAAGGACACCTACACCAAAACCCCATCAGTACATCACCATCATCAAAGACCAGAGGCAGATAAAACCACAAAGATGGGGAAAAAGCAGGGCAGAAAAGCTGGAAATTCAAAAAATAAGAGCGCATCTCCCCCGGCAAAGGAGCGCAGCTCCTCGCCAGCAATGGATCAAAGCTGGACGGAGAATGACTTTGACGAGATGAGAGAAGAAGGCTTCAGTCCATCAAATTTCTCAGAGCTAAAGGAGGAATTACGTACCCAGCACAAAGAAACTAAAAATCTTGAAAAAAAAGTGGAAGAATTGATGGCTAGAGTAATTAATGCAGAGAAGGTCCTAAACGAAATGAAAGAGATGAAAACCATGACACGAGAAATACGTGACAAATGCACAAGCTTCAGTAACCGACTCGATCAACTGGAAGAAAGAGTATCAGCGATTGAGGATCAAATGAATGAAATGAAGCGAGAAGAGAAACCAAAAGAAAAAAGAAGAAAAAGAAATGAACAAAGCCTGCAAGAAGTATGGGATTATGTAAAAAGACCAAATCTACGTCTGATTGGGGTGCCTGAAAGTGAGGGGGAAAATGGAACCAAGTTGGAAAACACTCTTCAGGATATCATCCAGGAGAACTTCCCCAACCTAGTAGGGCAGGCCAACATTCAAATCCAGGAAATACAGAGAACGCCACAAAGATACTCCTCGAGAAGAGCAACTCCAAGACACATAATTGCCAGATTCACCAAAGTTGAAATGAAGGAAAAAATCTTAAGGGCAGCCAGAGAGAAAGGTCGGGTTACCCACAAAGGGAAGCCCATCAGACTAACAGCAGATCTCTCCGCAGAAACTCTACAAGCCAGAAGAGAGTGGGGGCCAATATTCAACATTCTTAAAGAAAAGAATTTTCAACCCAGAATTTCATATCCAGCCAAACTAAATTTCGTAAGTGAAGGAGAAATAAAATCCTTTACAGATAAGCAAATGCTTAGAGATTTTGTCACCACTAGGCTTGCCTTACAAGAGACCCTGAAGGAAGCACTAAACATGGAAAGGAACAACCGGTACCAGCCATTGCAAAAGCATGCCAAAATGTAAAGACCATCGAGGCTAGGAAGAAACTGCATCAACTAACGAGCAAAATAACCAGTTAATATAATGGCAGGATCAAGTTCACACATAACAATCTTAACTTTAAATGTAAATGGACTAAATGCTCCAATTAAAAGACACAGACTGGCAAACTGGATAAAGAGTCAAGACCCATCAGTCTGCTGTATTCAGGAGACCCATCTCACACGCAGAGACATACATAGGCTCAAAATAAAGGGATGGAGGAAGATCTACCAAGCAAATGGAGAACAAAAAAAAGCGGGAGTTGCAATACTAGTCTCTGATAAAACAGACTTTAAACCATCAAAGATCAAAAGAGACAAGGCCATTACATAATGGTAAAGGGATCCATTCAACAGGAAGAGCTAACTATCCTAAATATATATGCACCCAATACAGGAGCACCCAGATTCATAAAGCAAGTCCTTAGAGACTTACAAAGAGACTTAGACTCCCATACAATAATAATGGGAGACTTCAACACTCCACTGTCAACATTAGACAGATCAACGAGACAGAAAGTTAACAAGGATATCCAGGAATTGAACTCATCTCTGCAGCAAGCAGACCTAATAGACATCTATAGAACTCTCCACCCCAAATCAACAGAATATACATTCTTCTCAGCACCACATCGTACTTACTCCAAAATCGACCACGTAATTGGAAGTAAAGCACTCCTCAGCAAATGTACAAGAACAGAAATTATAACAAACTGTCTCTCAGACCACAGTGCAATCAAACTAGAACTCAGGACTAAGAAACTCAATCAAAACCGCTCAACTACATGGAAACTGAACAACCTGCTCCTGAATGACTACTGGGTACATAACGAAATGAAGGCAGAAATAAAGATGTTCTTTGAAACCAATGAGAACAAAGATACAACATACCAGAATCTCTGGGACACATTTAAAGCAGTGTGTAGAGGGAAACTTATAGCACTAAATGCCCACAAGAGAAAGCTGGAAAGATCTAAAATTGACACTCTAACATCGCAATTAAAAGAACTAGAGAAGCAAGAGCAAACACATTCGAAAGCTAGCAGAAGGCAAGAAATAACTAAGATCAGAGCAGAACTGAAGGAGATAGAGACACAAAAAACCCTCCAAAAAATCAATGACTCCAGGAGTTGGTTTTTTGAAAAGATCAACAAAATTGACAGACCACTAGCAAGACTAATAAAGAAGAAAAGAGAGAAGAATCAAATCGACGCAATTAAAAATGATAAAGGGGATATCACCACCGACCCCACAGAAATACAAACTACCATCAGAGAATACTATAAACACCTCTACGCAAATAAACTGGAAAATCTAGAAGAAATGGATAATTTCCTGGACACTTACACTCTTCCAAGACTAAACCAGGAAGAAGTTGAATCCCTGAATAGACCAATAGCAGGCTCTGAAATTGAGGCAATAATTAATAGCCT